GGATATTTCATCTATTTCTTTTTCGTTTTGCATCCCAACGAATTCTAACTAAACGGTAACGGGTTGTAGGGATGTTTGTCGTAATATCGAGACGGGGAAGGATCGAGTTTTCCGGATGAACAGAGGATGATTCGAGATCGGAAAAATACTGTTTTAATCGATGGTATTTTTTTTTTTTTTTGGTAACGAATTAGAGATTCTTTTCGAGAGAATCGAGGTATCCACGAACCGACAATCCTATACGCGATTAACACGTTTCAGGATTTTACGCGTTTCACAAATGGATGCGTTTTACGACCTTTCTTCTAGGTTTTACAGTTTTCTGACGATCAATTATTTTAACGACGAATTTCAAGAGATAATTTCGATATTCGGGTGAAAATATCGGAATTAAATATCTTCTATACGTTTGGAAAGGTCGAAAAATCAAAATTTGCGCCGTTTAAAATTTTGATTACCCGTCGTCGAAAAATTGTCCCGAATTTTTCTTGAATTTTCGAAGAGCGGGAAAAAAGGAGAGGAATGAAATAAAGAGGAAGGATGGTATCGGCTCGATTGAAGGATCGATCCGCGAACCATCCAAATCCGGATGATCCGACTGTATGACGTTCGTTTATCCTCTCGACGATAAGCCATAGCTGAGTGTCGTCGCAAAAAACGATGCTTTCCCTTCGTCGCAGCCGTTTCCTATCCTAGCTTTCTTCTTCTCTTCCCTCCCTCTCTCTTTCGTCGCGCAGAAAGAGAGTTGCAATCTTTTGAACGTCACGAAGATTCCTTACCGAGATGGTGCAAAAACTGATTGGTTCGCGGATGGCAACGATCGATGGGCGTTGATTCATCGCGCTGAATAACCCCAGGAAATTGAAAATGATGCGTTGAAAACGAGCTCCTGCTCGTCGACGATTCCAAACGCTCCACCACCACCACCACCCGTGGAATTTTTTTCCCTGGCCCGTAATACCGGTTATCAAACCGGTAATTACGCCGCTTTTGTACGGATGTTGTGTACGGATCCATCGATAGCAGTGGAAACCAGTTCGGAACTCGCGATCGGGGTAATAAACGGGGGAGGCGTCGAGAACTTGGTTATTGTTTTCTGACGTGAACGAAATAACCGGGATAACGAGACGAGATGAAATAAATAATGGCTGAACGCGATTACGCTGGAAAGGATTATTGTTCCTCGAGATATATATAGACGACGACGACGACTTTGAAATAGTTTCGCGTTAGTTTTAAAATGGAAAACTTTGCTCGTTCCCGTCGAATGAATATTATATCCATATTTTCCACCTATTCACTATCGTCCCGTGTACGTTTCTCTCTCTTCCCAGAATCGACCGTGTAATTTTAATTTTAAATTTTCGAACTCTGGCAAGGAAAGTACGAATTGTTTCCCCGATACGATTAATATTCATGATGTCGAAATACACACACACATATATATATATGCGCTACAACCATTCCAACGAAACCGTGTTTCGCGGCTACGTAACAACCCGCCATAACATGGACGAGCAACGACTATCCTCGGCAACTTGCCGCGTAAAGAGAATACGCTTGAAAGCTGATCCTCCAACTTGAAGCATTCCGCTTCGGGGGCGAAACACATGGACGGAATCGATGTAGCCGATAATTGCAAAGGTTCTATCCTCGATCGGGCTGGATGTGTTCGATCGACTGGATGGAAGCTCGGTTATTCGCGATACGCTCGATATGTTTATTGCATGATCGTCTTAATTGACTTCCGGCCTTCCAACATTATCGGATTTCCGTTCGCCCCCGGAACCACGTTACGAGTTCTTGAAATTGCATCTCGTCCTCTCTCGTTGTTCACATTCGGACACGTCTTCGTATCTCGATGTAATCGAGACAAATAATCGAGGGGAATAATTTTGAGGAGGAGCGCGTCTTCGAAATCCTGTCTCTACCTTTTCGAGAGGAGGGGGATCTTTTTGATTCGAAAATTGTCCGAGAGACGGAAAAATTGTAGGGAAATTTGGTTGTTGTTCGAAGAGGAAAGAAGAATTGTATTCCAATTTGGCGATTTTGTTTCGGAAAGATGTCGAAGAGAGAAAATTCACGGACGGAAAGTCAATTATACGATCGAGCGAATATCAAATATTCGTCACCGGTGTCGAATGTATGAATCGATATTTTCATAGAAAACACGGGTGGAAAGTTGATCCACTTTTCAGGGTGGCGAGGACGATATTCCACGCGTTTGGCCAAAGTGGTTTCGCCGATTCGCGGAGGTACCTTTTAAGCAAACACGCCGATAACATCAAATTCCGCATATTCGATCCGACTACAAATCAACCATCGACAGTTATCTCGTTACACTTTCGATACTTTCGGTATTTATGGGGGGGTAAAACGTAATCTACGTTGATCGGTTATTCGTGTGTATATATATATATATATATATATATATATACACACCACCATCGTACAAAATTGTATCTCAATTCCTCTCTTCACGTACGATATATTTGCTATTCGTACGCATTACATACCTCCCCTTCGTCGATTCGTTCTATCGTCCGTGCTTCGTCCGATATTGTCACGAACGTGGTATATGATACCTTGATTAAACGGGACAATATCCCAAACTTGAACGCGGAGAATATTATTTAATCAATCGGCAGGACATCGTTTCAATCGATTTAATCACGACTAACCGTTTGCCCCGACCGTGGGATGAACGCGTTCTGCCTTTGATCATTGGGGGGATGATTAAAAATCCGGGAGGGGAAAATGGGGAAGTTAAAAAAAAAAAAATAGGACGAAATGGATTAAAAATTTTCATTAAATTTCGCTAACGGTGAACACGGATTTTTCATAATCCCGATGCACTGACAAATTCAAAACACCAAACACGAGGCGCACCGGTGGCCAAAACCATTTTCATTATTCGTCTCACTTTTATACCATGGCATTTACAGCTCGAAATCCAACGGGCGTAACACCTCTCCCAATGCGGAGAATAATTCTTGTGTATATATATATATATATATATATATATATACACGCACCCATCGTACAAAATTGTATCTCAATTCCTCTCTTCACGTACGATATATTTGCTATTCGTACGCATTACATACCTCCCCTTCGTCGATTCGTTCTATCGTCCGTGCTTCGTCCGATATTGTCACGAACGTGGTATATGATACCTTGATTAAACGGGACAATATCCCAAACTTGAACGCGGAGAATATTATTTAATCAATCGGCAGGACATCGTTTCAATCGATTTAATCACGACTAACCGTTTGCCCCGACCGTGGGATGAACGCGTTCTGCCTTTGATCATTGGGGGGATGATTAAAAATCCGGGAGGGGAAAATGGGGAAGTTAAAAAAAAAAAAAAAATGGACGAAATGGATTAAAAATTTTCATTAAATTTCGCTAACGGTGAACACGGATTTTTCATAATCCCGATGCACTGACAAATTCAAAACACCAAACACGAGGCGCACCGGTGGCCAAAACCATTTTCATTATTCGTCTCACTTTTATACCATGGCATTTACAGCTCGAAATCCAACGGGCGTAACACCTCTCCCAATGCGGAGAATAATTCTATTTGTTATGTATGTATATAATATATATATATATATTTTTTTTTTCATCCTTCTCTTCGCGTGGAGTGCGCGCATCTCGACGTAAAAAAAAAAAAACAATTCGAAGGTACAATATTGAATATTAACCCTTTTAACGATTCTTTTCTTTTTTTTTTTTTTCCAATAGTAATTCTAATGTCTCTAATAAATATTGCTAACTCTTCTCCTTTTATTTTATATTTCGAATTCTATTATCCTGTTACGTTCGTTTTTCGGGAAAAACAACGTTTACTCGGTGAAAACAACGGTTGACTTCGGATTAAAGCGAACTAGGGAAGAGGAAACAGAGAGTTTGTTTGTGAACAACAAAAGCTTCGAGACGTGCGTTCAAAGTGTAACGTGATCGCCGTTGTTAGGAGTTTATGAGTTTCTCTTTTCACCCCCTCCCGCCCCCCCACCCCCCTTACTTCACTCTTTTTAAAAACGTTCGAACGATAAAATACAATGAAATTAACAGAAATTTTTGTAAACTATGTAATCATAAGAAAAATATAAAAAAAAATAATCGAATTAAAATATTTAATTAACAGATTTTATGAATTGTTTTTACCGTTTTTCTGGCATAATATTATTATCGAAAATAATAACATATTATACATTTATATAATATATATATATATATATATTATATATTATAATATTATCGTTTATAATATCATTTTTGAAAATAATTTTCAATAATAATATTTAAACAAAGGTTATAAATATATTATACATTAAAATTATATAATATTTTCAATAATAATATTTAGCAAATTAATATTATAATAATTTTATTTTCAATAATTTATAACTTATAACATTAATATATAATACATCTATAACTTGATCTTTATTTAAATATTATTCATTGAAAATATATATCATTGAAATGAATATTATATGTATTGAAAATAATGATTTTCGAAATATTATTTCTGAAAATTATTATTTTATATTTTATTTAGACAATAAAGTTATAGATATATGATATAATCAAAGTTATATGTTATCGAAAATACTATTATATATCATATATATTATACATATTTTTATAATAATTTTCAATTTAGAAGATTGTTATAAAAATATTATAATTTATATAATAACACTATTTAAACAATAATGTAATAAGTATATTGTATATTAAAGTTACAAGTTGTAAAATTATCATATAACATACGTGCAAAAATTAAAATAACACAAAAGAAACGCACAATAGAACAAAAGAAAAGAAAAAAAAGAATTAAACATTATCGTTATTTAAACATAGGGCCATTGTATTAAATTTGTTGCAATAATCACCGGTAATAGTAATAATCGATTAAAATTATTGCGATAATCGACGATAATAAAGCATGCAAATGTATAAATAAAAAATATAAATGTACATACCAGATGCAGTTTTCGTGGAGTGGTCCTCTTCGTATGCAGATTTCGTCAAAAATTGCAAATAAATCCTTTTTGCGTCGTACAATTGCGACGAAACGTAAATAACGAGCGCGACGCGACGTTTTGTTGATATTAACGCTTCGAACGCCGAAAGACGAATGCCGGCGTTCGAAGTGTATTCGTATCCCCTCTCCCATTTAATTTCGACCGAGAAATTACGAACGTAGAAATATATATTTTGATTCGAAAATTTTTATCCGAGATTTAAGATTTATTGTTTTCGAAGGTCCAGGATGGAAGCTGCGCTTGTTTTTCTCTCGATCATCGTTTCCAATCGGTATTTCCAACATCCGGTTGGCCTGAATAAAAACGAATTGTGAAAAAAAAGGAGATTAAAAAAAAAGGAAAAAAAAAGGAAAAAAAAAAAAGAAAAAAAATAAGGTGGTTAAATATTGAACAAACGGGGACAACGCGATGTTTCTCATTTCGGAGATGGTTAAAGAAACACGCGAAACATAACGAGTTTGAATGGGTTAAATGGAAATCGAAGGTTTTTCTCTGTTGATTCACGACGAATTTAGTCACCATCGAAACAAATTAAACGGTATCAAAACTCGACTCTGTTAACAAATGCGTTTGTACAAACGTATTGCCATTCATTCTCGCGTATCACCCCCTCTTTTCATTCCACTTCATCCCCCCCTTTTTTTTCATTCTCGAACTCTACCAGCAATGCTCGTAAAATCGAGGCAATCGTCATGATGTTCATATCCATATCGTACTATTAACTCTTCCCCTTTATTATTATTATTATTTTTTTTCTTTTTATCGTATACCGTCCTATCACGTACACCGTGTACGTATAATACTGACGATATTCGATAACTCGCGAAAATAATACAAAAATATATATATATATATATTAAATTACAATTATCGAAGCGAAAACATCGAGAGAGATGAGAAACATTTTATATATAAAATTATCGATGGAAAAATACTCACCCATTTCCAGACCACCAAATACTGGAAACAGTTTCAAAGCAACTGCACCACGGTTATCCGTCGATATTCCCGCAAATCCATCGTCCATTATCAGCCGCGATCACCATGACAATGCAGAGTTACCGTTCCAAGTAGACGTCGTGATCTTGGACTCCTGGATTCTATACCACGGTTCGCTCCATGCTGGGTTGGGCAATCTCTCTCTCTCTCTCTCTCTCTTTCCCTCCGTTCCTAATCTTCGTGGTATAATTCTAGACAGTTCGTCGAATGCCCCCGGGCGTTGCATTCGAGGCTACGCGATTCTCCTTGTCTTGCGGTTAATAAACACTGTGGAAACTCCGCTGATCAGTCGTTCCCGGCGAATCGTAGCCGGGGAAACTAGCTCCAACTTCCGGGGATACCTGCCCGCCATATTTCGAAATCTGTCGCCCATTGATTTCGCCCATTTCCCATCCCCTCTATCTCGCGCTATCTCCAGATCCAGAGAAATTATGGAGAATTCGGAAGGGGAGAGGGAAATTTCCATGAAACTCGTTTATACATTTTCGATCTGGAATATTTCGAAATCCGGATATTTTCAACTCGCAAAACTCGTATATATATATATACATATCCTTGAACGATGCAAAATGCAGAGAAAGAGACAGAAAAAGCGTAGGGAATAATCGAAGGACCGGGAGGGCTCGTCCTTTACGAATTTCCACGGGGGCGAAAAAATCGTACCGGTTGCCAGCTTTCCCACGAAGATTCCTCCCCCCTCGATCCAAAGCCCCGGTTCGGAAAACGCGCAACTGTAAGGCATCCTGTACCCCCTACCCCTCCCCACCCTCCTTCCCCGCCTTTTCGAATTTTGTTTGTTAAAAAACGCTTTGTTCCTTCCCGCCATTTCCCGCCACTAGTATCTTTTCATCCTCGTTATCGCGAGGGGAGAGGAAAGGGGGCTGCTACCTCGTACCATCGTTCGTGACCGTACGATTAATATTACACACGGTGAGAGAAGGAAAAAAGAAATTCGACTCGTCGGCCGACGTGTACTGGCATGCGAACGCGCGGTAAAACTGTGGAGGATTTTATTCTCTCGTGTATAAAATAAAAGAGAAGGAAAGTGAAGGAAAAGGAGGAGAAAGGGAGAGGGGGGGGATGAAATCGGGGGCGCGAGAGGGTGTAATCGACCGGTGTACCGGTTATTGCTACCGTGGATACCACGATCAGCGAATATCTAGACGCGGGGGCGTGGATCGCAATATCGAACCGAAGTGAAAACAGGGTCAAACTGATGACACCGTTCTCTCGTTGACGTGCCTCGCAGAGATTATTCCAACTAGCAGTCGATCCCGACCTAAATACAACGTCAACCCCTTGTCCCTTGCCCCTGGAACATTCTCGTCGGACCGTCGCTCTTTCCGCGGACATTTTCGCGAATTCGACGATTTTTTTTTTTTTTGAAAGAAAGGAAGAAAAAGAGAAGAAAAGGAAAGAAAAGGAAGAGGAAGAAGTTTCGCGGTCCTCCTTCCTTCGCGATCGCGAGGAATAAAAATTTTTATCGCCGATATGAAAAGACACGCGATTGGAGATTTTACGAGGGCGGGGAGGAGAAGCCTCGAGGGAGATTCGAGGTTTCCAGTTTTATACCATTTGCCCGATTCCCCGCCCCGAGTGTCACGGATCGCGTGGAAGGAGGATGAGCGACAATGTTTAGCGTTCATCCGGAATGCCCATAATCTGCAGGGTGGCGCTACCGAATGGCACTTTACCAGACGTTATTGTGCCCTGGAATTATACTTAAGCCGCGTGGAATCCCCGGGGAGACCTAATAAAACTGAACAAAAGAACGGCGATGGCCGATGGAATTTATTCCGACCTTTGAATTTCAAATTTCGGCCAAGAGAAGACATTCGAACGAATCTGTTCCGTGTCTCTCGATATCTGTTTCACGTGTCGATCCAATTCGACCACGAGATAAGAAGAAGAAGAAGAAGAAAAAAAAAAAAAAGATTCGCCCTTTATTCCATTGAAAGAAAGAGCGCTGGTTGATCTATACGTCGATCATGTAGTCTCGTGTTGTATATAATCTAACTATGTTGTATATATATATATATATATATCGTCACGAGTATCGTAATCCTGGTTCCACGAGATAAAGAGGACGCTTGTCGAAATGGTCGATTTACGATGGTAGTTCCCTTTATCAGATTTCCAAACACCATTTTCATCAGAGGCGGTCCGTATGATGGAGAATCACGGTGCAAGGCCTTGCAAGGGAATGAAGACGAGGGATGGCGGAGGGGGATGTCGGGATGGAACGCGATGAAAAAGGAGAAATTGTCGGGCGTAGGTGAACCTATCGCGGAGCGCCATCCAGGCAATACCCGAGAAGCTTTATGAACGATTGGACTCGTATTTCCGACGGGAAGGTACATCACCGTGGACGTTTCCACGGCGAAAACAACGAGAGAGCGAAGCACCGCCGCGGCAACGAAGGAAATATAAAAGCTACGCCCGATCGAGCATCTATATCTATATATATATATATATTTCATAACTCACGAGAGCCGAGAGAATTCGGTGAAAAAGAAATCGTCACGAGTATCGTTTTTAAGTGGCCCGTGAAATCTCGCTCCCTCGTTGGGCTTATGCTCCCTTTTTTTCATTCCACGCGACGATCGGGTATCTCGCCTCTTTCAACGCTATTTTTTGAACGCGCTCGCTCGCGCCAATCTCTGGCAACCGACCAAGAAACTTTCGAGGCTGCCACGATCCAACCGCGGTACAGTAATGACCTCAAGGACGTTTTATCTCCAACCCTTTCCTCCTTCCATCCCCTCTCCCCCGCTTTCTTCGTCCCCTTTTTACCAACGTTCTTTCTCGTCTCCGCTCTGTCTCCTCATTTCTTTTTTTTTTTTTTTTTTCTTCTCCTTCTTTTTTCCCGCCGCTCCCAGCATTGGATGGATTTTAAAAGCCATTTCATCGGCAATTTACGTCCGGATTCGGGCTAATTAGCCGGAGAATTGTTTGCGATTCCTCCTCGCCGCGATTTCTCCCCGCGCCCATCATCCGCGTAATTAAGCCCGCTCGCGAAACCCATAAAACATAATAAACCCCGCCCTCTGCTTTCTTCCCCTCCACCGGACAATGCGGCGATATTAAAAAATTTTCCGCGGGAAAAATTCGGGAATTATTACTTCCGCGATTACAATAATCCGTAGAATCTAGGCCGTGCTAATCACGTTTTGATGATCGATCCGAGAAGGATCGAAGCTTCGAGACCCACGCGTTCCCCTCGCGCGATAAAACGAAACGCTTCGATGATTCCCCGATCCATCCCGTTCTCGCTTTTCCAGCGAGATGAAAGCCGGCGCAAAAAAAAAAAAAACGAAGAAAGAAAGGCTCACGCGGTTTACAGGGTATTACGCGCAATCCATACCGATGTAATCCCGACGCCCATCCCCTTCCTTTTCCCCCTGGTCGAAGGTCGCGAGAAATTCCCGATGAGAATCGGCAAAGGGGGATCCACCCAAGGGGGATCCATCAGACCGCTGTTCCATATATGTATGCACGTGGTAATTCCACCCTTGGAGAATTCCTCGCGGTCTGGAAACGCGATACGAATTCGAACGTTTCTCGAATTAATTCGTTCCGACGACACCTTTCTCGCGTCGAATGAGATACGGTATTATTCTCCTTCGCGAATAACCGGATCGTTGATGTGGACGATGACGATCGGATGAAATATTATACGTATTTTTTTCATCTCGAAGCAAAGCTGGACCACCTTGAACTTCCATCGGTCTCGGTGATTGTGACTCGCCGACATATGACTGACAACACACGCGAGTACCGTAAACTGTCGTCGATGTAACGTGCGCTCCGTGTTTTCGCAACACGTGCATACT